CAACAGCGCAGCATCAACAGCGTCGCGTCAACAACGCAGCGTCAACAGCGTGATGTCAGCAGCAAGAACATACAGCACAACGGAAACTACTAGCGCAGCGCCGACCAACAGCGCAGCGTCAACAGCGTGGCGCCAACGGCCCAACGTCAACAGCGTAGCGTCGCGGTGCCAACAGCGCAGCGCCAACGGCGCCGCGTCAACCAGAGGCGCAGCACCAGCGCAGCGCCAACAGCGCAGCGTCAACAGCGCAGTCTCAAACGCGTAGTGTTGAAAGCTTGGAGCCAACACCTCAGCGCGAACAGCGCAGTGTCAACGGCGCAGTGTCAACAGCGCAATGTCTACAAAGTAGCATCAACAGTGCAGTGTCAACATCGCAGTGTCAACAGCGCGGCGTCAAATGCGTCGCGTCGACAGCGTAGCGTCAACGGCGCAGCGCCCGCAACATGAACCAACGGCTCAACGGGAAATAATAGCGCAGCGCCGACCAACAGCACGATGTGAACAGCGCGGCGTCGACAGCGCAACGTCAAAAGCGCGGCACCGCAGCGTCGGCAACGCAGCCCCAACAGCCCCGCGTCAACCAACGCAGCGGCAACGGCACAGCGTCAGGACCACGGTGTCCGCAGCGCAGCGTCAACCGTGTAGCGTTGACAGCTTAGTGCAAAAAACAGAGCGTCAACAGCGCAGCGTCTACAGCGTGGCTGAACAGCGCAGCGTCCACAGCGCAGCACCAACGGCGTAGCGTCAGCAGCGTCGCTTCAACAGCGCAGCGTCAACAGCGCAACGCCAGAAGCATGGACCAACAGCGCAGCAGGAGAGAATAGCGCAGCGCCGACCAATAGCACGATGTCAACAACGCAGCGTCAACAACGCATAAGGAAGAAGCTACTGTAAACAGCGCCGCACCAACAACGTCGCGTCAGCAGCGTAGTGTCCACAGCGGAAGGTCAACAACGCAGCGTCGACAACGCAGTGTCAACAAACTGCGCGCTGTCGACCGCGTAGTTCCAGCCGTGAGCCAACGACGCGACGAGAACGCGCAGGGCACCGCCGAACCACCGCGCAGCTTCAACGGCGTAGTGCCAACAGCGCAGTACCCACACCGTAGTGTCGACAGCGTAGCGTCAAGAGCGCAATGTCACTTGACGGCGCAACAACATCGTAGCGTCAACAGCGCAGCGTCGACAGCGCAGCGTCAACAACGCAGTGTCGCGCAACGGCGTAGCAACAGCGCAGCGTCAACAGCGCAGTGTCAACAGCGAAGTGTCAGCAGCGCAATGCCAACCAACAGCGCATCAACGGCGCAGCGTCAACAGCGCAGCGCCAACAGCACAGCGTCAACAGCGTAGCGCTGGCAGCTTAGATTCGACAACTTAGTGTCAACACCTTAGTGCCAACAACGCAATGTCAACCAGGTAGGGTCTACAACGTAATTTAAACAGCGTAGCGTCCACAGCGCAGTGTCAACACCGCACTGTATACAGCGCAGTGTCAACAACGCAGCGCCAACAGCGCAGTGTCAACCAGCAGCATAGTCAACAACGGAATGTCAACAGGTCAAACTCATTATGAGCGGTCCTGGGCGCGACAAGCAGTTCGCATCGCGTTGTCGAGAGCACGCTGTCAGTAAAGCGGTGCCCGCAGCGTAGTACCAACAGCGTAGTGTCAAGAGCGCAGCGTGACAGGTAGCAGCGTGCGAGCAGCGTACAGCGTCTCCTCTTCATGCCAACGGCGTAGTGTCAACAGCGCAGCGCCAGATGTAGGATCGTGCAAGAAGCGCCCAGCGTCTATTGGCAATGCTAACAGCGCAATGTCAACAACGCAACGCAGCGTCAGAGGCACAGGCGGGTACAAATAGCGTCCAGCGTCTGATCTCATTGCCAACAGCGCTTCGAAGCATTTGCCTCGAGGGTCGAGAGTCCTGACATCTGTCTGCGTCTCCAGCTATGACGAACAACTGTCTACAGTCTCCGTGACAGAAGTCGATCCAGTAGTAGAACGGCACAGTGTCAGGTACGAGCGGGAACAAATAGCGTCCAGCGCCTGCTCTTAATGCCAACAGCGCTTCTAAAATGCCAACAACTTGGTGTCAACAGCGCAGTGTTTGAGATTCAAGAGCGCAGGGCCTCTCCTCTTGATGCCAACTGCCGACAACGTAGTGCCAACAACGTACTGTCAACAGCGCAGCGCCAGAGGTTCAGGAGCGGCGCAGAGCCTCTTCTCTGAAGGCGAACTGCCCACAACAATGTAATGCCAACAACGCAGTGTCAACAGCGTAGCGTCGCAGATTAGGAACGTACAGTCTGTCCTCTTTCTGCGAATGACGTACTGTCAACAGCGTAGCGTCGCAAATTCGAAGTGTACAGTATGTCCTCTTAATGCGAATAACGTAGTGTACGTCACAGATTAGAAGCGTGAGGTATGTCCTCGTAATGCGAACAACGTAGCGTGAACACCGTAGCGTCGCAGATTAGAAGCGTACGCTCTGTCCTCTTACTGCGAACAACGTAGTGTCAACACCTTAGCGTCGCAGATTAGAAGCGTAGCCTCTTCTCTTAATGCGAACAACGTAGTGTCAACAGCGTAGTGCTACGTAATGCAGACCGCGTAGTATTAGTTCACTGTTTGAACTTTTATTTCACTGTAAGGAGATACCTAGCGTCGTCGTCGGCGGCGTCGTCATCGTCGTCGCCGTCGGCGTCGGCATCGTCGTCGTCGTCGGTGTCGTCGTCGTCGTCGTCGCCGTTGTCGTCGTCGTCGTCCAAATCGTCGGAGTCGTCGTAGTCATCGTCGGCGTCGTCGTCGTCGTCGTTGTCGCTGTCGTCGTCGGCGTGGGTATCGTTGCGAAGTGCCAGTCGGCACCTACCGTCACGGTCTGAAGAGGTCTTGCGACCAGGTTGCGGGTGGGAGGGTGGGATGTTTGCACGAGCAGTGGAGAGGACAGCTTCAAGTTGAGCAAGTGATTGATTCTCCTTCCTTTAAAAAAAAGACAATAGACTCTACCCCCCCGGACTTATCGCTTCCCCCTGGGATAATATAATTCCATATATATTCTGCACACTCGTCCATCCTAAATATGAAATCATATCATCCCAGGCCGGCCGGGTTCCCCCCCCTGAGGTTCCCTTGTAAAAAACGCTATGGGGTGACATTTTTTGTTATAACATAACACTTGTTCACGAATCCCTTGCAAAAAACAGGACGAAGTGCACACGCGCGCGTCGTCGCACGCGCATGCCGAAATCCTTCGAAAACCTGCGGTGCCGGAAGGATTCCGCAATCGATGTTCCAAAAAAGCATGCAAAAACACAGGGTTTCGCAACACTGATTTGCTAAAAAAGCTTCCGCGCGAGCTCTTGCGAAATCTTAAGAAAACCATAGGTTTTTCAAGATTTTCACAAAATGCCACCAAAGGGGCTTCGCGCGCGCGCATGTCGAAATCTGTCGAACGCCCTTGCGCGTGTGCCGTCGCGAGAATCCTCTGCAAAAAAATGGGACGAAGTGCAGACGCGCGCGTCGTCGCGGGCGTATGCCGAAAACCTTCAAAACCCATCGGTTTCGGAAGGATTTCAAAATCGTGCGTCCAAAAAACCTAGAAAACCCAAGGTTTCGCAACACTGATTTTCAACAAAAACGCGAGCGCGTTCTTGCGTCGTCGTCGTTGTCGTCGTCGCCGTCCTCCCTCCTCCCGCGTCGTCGTCGTCGTCGTCGCCTACGTCGTCCTCTGTCTCGTGTTCGTCGTCGTCGTCCTCTTGGGCGTCGTGGTCGTTTCCGTCGTCGTTGTCGCCGTGGTCGTCCTTCCTCCTCCTCCCACGTCGTCGTCGTCGTCGTCCGTCGTCGGCGTCTCGTCGTCGTCCCTCCTATTTCGTCGCCGTCGTCGTCGTCGTTGTCGTCGTCGTCTTCCTCCTCCCTCGTCGTTGTCGTCGTCGGCGTCGCCGTCCTTCCTCCTTCGTCGTCGTTCGCGTCGTCGCCGTCCTCCCTCCTCCCTCGTCGTTGTCGTCGTTGTCGTCGTTGTCGCCGTCGTCGTCCTTCCTCCTCCCTCGTCGTCGCCTTCGTTGGCGTCGTCGTCGTCGTCGTCGGCGTCGTTGTCGTCGTCGAAGTCGTCGGAGACGTCGTCGGTGTCGTCCTAGTCGTTGTCGTCGGTGTCGTCGAGTCGGTCTTAACAGGTTTTGCAAACCAAGTTGCGGGTGGGTGGGTGGGATGTTTGCGCGAGCAGTGGAGATGACGACTTCAAGTTCAGCAGAGTGGATTGCACCACATAGATCGCACCACAAATACTGCACGACGTATATTGCACAGCATCTATCGCAACACATGGATTGCACGATATAGATGGCACCGCATATATTGTACCACATAGATCGCACAAAATAGAATGCACTACGTTGATCGCACCGCATAGATTGCACCACATACATTGCATAACATAGACTGCACCACACAGCTTGCATGAAATACGATACACATCCCGAACGCCAAAACTTACAACTTGGGATCCAATATGGCAAACATGTTCTGATCTCGGGCCGAGGCGCTTTCTCTCGCCCACAGAATTGCTCCATGCTCTCCTGCTTTCTGAGACCAGCTGCGTTAGGGTCCATGTAGTATGGTGCACTGGCCAGAGCAACAAGCCTCCTCTAGACAGGGCCAGAGCACTTACAATGATGGCACCTTCCTCCAATGATCAGCCGTACAGGCCACTCAAAAGAAGAAGGTAGAAATGTTAAGCGCAAAGGCGGTTGGAATAGATGGCGCGTCGGTTCGCCCCCGAAGAAAGGATGGTGAAAGGAAGCCCCTTCGATTGTTGAAGCAGCAGGGCGCTTGAAGCAAATTAGCATCTGGGAGTCCAAGAGCATTTACTTTGTGCGAACGGCCTGTACCGACCCTGGCCAGCCCCATCATGGGCCTGAGATCGGCCTGGCCAGGATCGGTGCAGGTGTACAGCGCCGTCGCCCTCCGAACCCTGCTGACCCGAATGGCGGCCAGGCAACCGCGGCGGCTGGGCCACGAACACGACGTGCTTCTTCTGGAACTTCTTCTCCAGCTCGCGGATGAGGCGGCCCTCGCCAGGCGCTGTGTTGCCGAAGGCCACTGAAGGCCGCCGAAGGCCGCCGAAGGCCGCTGGGGAGGGAGGACAATCGTGGGATGGCCATGGCGAGATCTCGCCCCGCCGACGCGTGGGCCGCCTACCTGGAACCCGTTCTTCCTTCCGAGCCGTTGTCGACGGCCCGACGGGTCCAGGACAAGGGACTCTGGAGCCCGGTAAATCAATTCTGCAGTCGTGGGGGGGCCCACCGCTGTCGCGGGCTCCCACACCGCACCGCCGTCGCCCTGGCGTGGGGCGCGCCCGCGGACAGCGGCGGCCTTAGCCTGCTTGGGCCCCCCGCCCTCGCTGGGCCGCCGCTGAACCTCGTCGTCGCCTCTCCAGCCGACCCTGCAAACCCCTCCGAACCCCAAAAGGCCTCGAGCCTCGAGCGGGGGCACCCCCGCGAAAAGATCTGCAGGCGCAGACCGGGCCCCGTTCGGCCGCAGCTCCAGCGGCGGCGCCTCCCACCGCCGAAGACACTCGAGGGAGGAAACACGGGGACCACGATCGAAATGTCGCGAGATCTTGTCGATGCCAACCTTGGTCTTGGTCCATGGTCCACGGTCCATGTCGGCCGTGCCGATCCGCGAAGATGATCCACGAATTAAGGATGACCAAAATCAGCGCTGACCAAGATCAACACGACGTTACATCGTTCAATATTGGTCATGGTCCCCGTTTTTTCCCCTCCAGACGAGGTGGGATCCGGGAATCTCTGGGAACTTGCGGGTCTTGAGGACGTGTTGGGAGCCGCTGGCGTTTCAGAGCGTTCCGGAACGCTCCGAGGACTGTTTAGAACGCTCTGAAGCGATCTATCTTGATCCCAGGCCTGCTGATGGCTGCTACTCCGATGGGGTAAAGAAAGATCCATCTGTGGCCAGGCGCATCCTCGGCCCAGGATCGGTGCAAACGCCCTCGCCTCGGCCAAAGAGACGTACTCACCGGTCCCGGGGACCAGGGTCGGACTGGCCAGGATCGGTGGGGGGGTCAGTTAACGCGGTACGAAAAGGTAGAAGCCTATCGGTGGAGATGGGCGCGCGACACATCATTCGGGTCACGTGCCTTCTCACGCCAGGGCTCTTGCGAGGTCAAAAAGGAGCAGCTGGAGGCATGCTCCGACACCTGACGTCGGCGTTTTGAGTATTGCTGAGGCAAGCCTGCCTCAAGGAAATATTGCTCTGCCTTTGTGGATTGACTGGGCTTGCCGACGGCGGGGCGTCGCCTGGGCCAAGCTACGGTTTCGTGCGCGCACGTGTCTGTGCCTTGTCGATCTCCATGTACATGCCTGGACCCATGCCTACGCCTGCGCATGCGTCTACTTCTACGCCTTCAAAATGTCGCTTACGGCGCGAGTCCCGAGAACCCTCTCGCGCGGCGCCCTGTCTGCGGTTTCTTTCACCGGAGGGCCTCTGACAGGCTCTAGCTTTCGCGCACAAGGCACTCACAATGCTGCGGCGCTTACTTTGTTCGTCCGTATGGGAGGGGATGCCATGGATACTACCACACCAAACGTGGTCAGGCCCATCCTGGATCCTGGGTCCTGGGTTGGCGTACACACCAACTGGCTGGGCCAAGAAGGCGCGTGTACCCCACCCTTGGACACTGGATGGGCTTGGCCAGGTCTGAAGCGGGTGCATCACCAGCACCTTCTGGCTTATGCTTCCCCTGTTTCGTCCCTAGCCTGGAATTCCTAAGAGCGGCTCCCCCCACACGTGGCAAAAACCTTTCCGGGTTAGGAGGACGGAGGCGCCCCCATATGCGATTCGGTCGTCCGAACTCGCAACTCACAGCGCTCACAAAATACCTTGAGGGGTGGATGATTGGGCGCTGGCCCGCCCTTCTTTTCCACCAGCGCCCAGCCTGGATCTTCTTCACTGCACCCCACACCCGGAAAGGGAAGTGCACGACGACTGCCTTGCGCATCTTCGCGTCCACCTCCTTCGCCCCGGAGATGTAGATGTCGCGCAGGTCTGCCTTGATATCGCTGGACGGCGATACTTCGATGTCAAGGAGGGCCTTCGCCACCTCCTCTTCAAGCTCTGTAGGGGCCGCACCCTTGTCCTTGACGATCTTCTTCCTTGCGTTGATCATGGTGCCAAGACCGATATCCCCGTCTGGTGGCACTGCCCTCCGTACTTCCAGGCTCTAGCTTGAACCGAAACGGCCACGAGCAGCGCTGAATAATAGCAGCGCCAGCATTTACAAATTGCGAAGACGGTGGTGGCGCTACCACGGAGTGACCGATGGATGGGGAACAACTCTGGAACGAGAATCCACCCTCTGATAAATGCAAAGCTGGCAGAAAACCCACCCCCGTCTACTCCCAAAGAGCCCAGGAAATCACATACACCTGTTCTGGGCCCAGGATGGACCTGGCGAGGGTCGATACAGGCGTGTAGATGGTGCCCCCCGACCGAAAGAAAACCCACGTCGAACAGCATCTGGTCCCGTGCACCGATACACACTGGACGACCCCGCACTACACCACAGCACAGAACTTCACAGCACGGCACGGCACCACGCCATCATGGCATCACGGCACCACGGCAGGGCGCGACACCGCACAGCATGGCGCGCCCGACGGCATGAGGAATCGGGAACACGTCACGGCATGGCACGCCCGACGGACGCAGCACGGCACGGCGTGGCACGCCAGACGGAATTACAAGGCGGCAAGGAAGCGACACGACACGGCACGGCATGGCACGGCACGGCAGGACACGCCCCACCCGACAGAACTACGAGCTCGGAACATGGCACAGCACTGCAAAGCGAGCCCGACGGAATTGCAAACTGGGACCATGGCACGGCACGGCACGGAGCCCGTGCCTCGTGTTTGTGTAGAATGTTTCCCTTCATCCACAAGCAGAAACGTCCGTCGAACATGAGCACAATGGAAATTGCAACATCACGCCATCGGATTGTCAAGAGCTGAAAAAGGGTCTCCTGCATCGATGGATGTAAATGCGGACGGATTGAATGAATGAGGGACTGCGCGAGATGAAGCCTACATCCTCCTCGGATGCACTTAGACTTACAGTGTGGCAAAACCTGAAACTGCGGATTACATGGGCGTGGAAGTGTCAAAAGCTGAGGCCAGGCGCATTTCAAGATGGTCAACGGCTGCCCGCCCGAATTGAAGAACAGGAGGCAAAGAAGATCGTCCTTCTCCAACCCATCCATGTCATCCTCCTCCTCTTCCTCACCACCACCAGAACTCTCTTCCCGCTTCATCCTCGTTCCTTCCTCACCCCTTCCTCACCCCTCTTGTTGCTGGTGAGGCTACCTCCTGACGATGGAGGAGGGCCAGAGATGAGTAAAAGAATGAAGATGACGGTTGAGGAGGAAGGGGGGGAGAGAAGAAGCAGGCGAGGAAGGCAGAGGAGGAGGGCCCAGGAGGAAGGAGGATACAGGAAAAAGACGAGAGAAAAGAGGAAAGAGGAGAACTTGGGGGAGGAGGGAGCAGGAGAAGAGGGGAAGACGGCGCGGCAGAAGCTAACACATCCGACGCCTCGTTTTTGTCCGTTCGGCCTGTGGCGCCGACCCCCCCCACCGAGACCCGCCTCTTGACAGTCCTGGGACCGACCGAAAAGCGGCCCCCCGTCGGCGAAGAGACCGTTGGCACGATGTCGGTCCGAGTCGGGAGAACTGAGGGGGGGAAAAGGGCAATCGCGAAAGCCGAGACGCACAGGGGATAGAACGCGAAAGAGGGGTGGGGGGGGAACGACGGCGTGCGGACCGGCACCAGTCGCGGCGCACGCCACTGGCGCCTCCTATACGTGATGCGGCGAGCAGAAAAGGGGGAGGAGGGGGAAAGGAGGAGGAAGAAGAGGACGAGGACGAGGAGGAGGAAAAAGAGGAGGAAAAAGAAGAGGAGGAGGAGGAGGAGGAGGAGGGGGAAGGGGAACAAGGAGAAGGATATCGAAGGGAGAACATCGAGGAGGAGCAAGGAGAAGGATGGAGGGAGAGGGGGAGGAGGACAAGAGTAACCCATGATGCATCGACGATGGTGTACCTTCCCGTCCCAGGTCCCCTTATCAAATGTCCACACAAGCAGTCCTTCGAACTACAAGCAGCGCCCCGTCCAAGGACCAGCATTCCATGGGCCTGCCATTCTGGCGAAAGCTCCGTTTCAAAAAAGAGCTGCATCGCTCCAAGCATTGCAAGCGGAAAAAATAATCGTACAATTCAACGAACGAGAACCCCGTTTCGAAAAATGGCTTGGACCGGATTTGCAACTATACCACTCTGCCGATTCATCACGGGTCCGGGCATCGTCTTGATCCTGTTGATCGGCATAAGGTCATCTTCAAGTAGCGGCTCCAAGTTAAATATCGGAGAGGACGTACCTGACGCCATGGCTAGTAGCATCCCGTAAGCAGATGTGCTAGAGTGTAGAATGCGTGTAATGATACGCGGGAGCGCCCGGCCTGGGCGAGGGGAAGGCGCGCGAGCGCTGTTTCCGCTGAGCACGAATAGCTGCGCATGGCCACGCAGTGTTGGTAATTTGGCTCCGCCAACCCTCATGTGGAGAGCGAAGGCGGAGCAGGAAAACATGGCGGGGAGCGTTAGCAATGTCTCCCCCCGCGGCCAACCCGGCGCGGAATCTCTGCGCGCGGGTGGACGTCAGCCTCTAGCTGACGCCCCAAGCTGCGGCGGTACGAACCAGGCCGATTTCGGCACGTCCCGAGGGCGAAAGTCGGACTTCACCCCTGCCCCCCGTGGCATTTCGGCCGCCGCGGTGCACATCCCAACAAGTTTTACTGCGCACGCAGAAAGGAGGGGAGCACTCCCGACACAGCCCTGTGGGACAAGCTCAAACGGACCGGAGAACCCCACGTAAAAAGGAGCGCGCTGGCGCACGCCGCCCGTCGATCGGCCCATAGGGCCATGACAGCCTGCCGCCATGCCGTGGCCCGCGGTAGAACGCTCGGAGCACAGCTCCAACGCGTTCGGGGAACAGTCAGAACACAGCTCCGATGTGCCGCCCGGCCAGTCCCCACCTATCACCAGCGCCTGTCCTCGCGCCACTGGTGGCCGCGGCCCCAGCTGCTGCTCCACACCTGCTGCAAGTTGCCCGAGCCCCATCCTGAACTCCTCGACGGCCAACGACTCTGCGAGTCGCGGCGCCATGAAAGGCGCGGATCCTCTACTCCTCCGCGACCCTCAATCGGATGTCCGCACACTAACACCTCTCTGCCGGGGATCCTGGACCGGAACTCGACGAAGTTGCAGCCCACAACAATGCTCTGGCTGTACTTCAGTCGCTCATTTTTGGCGCCTCCCTGCCCATTGCCTCCATCGGCCGCGCGCGCCGTCATCGGGCGGTCCCTGGACTGGGCCAATTGTGGGCGCTTCCCGCCCTGCTTGCCTCAGCACCACTGCGCCACGCAGTTAAGTGCGAGTGGCGGAGGACAGCCCGAGCGGAGAAATATCCACTTGCAGTGATGACAGCTGACCGAGCATGCCCGACATATCGCCTCCTTGCACTTTCCTCGACGCCCCGGGCAGCAGCGTTCAGGGAATTCCGCGCACCTGGGCCCTCTGTTGGCACATGACTCGTTGATGCGGAAGCTCGACGCAATGGAGCGCGCCGTGCGAACGGAGGACGATGATGCGCCCGACGGGGCCCTCGAGGTCCTACGTCGGTCGGGCCCCGCGCCCCTCGCCCGCGGAGAGCGAACATCCTGACGGGTGCCCTCAAGGCACCGAAATTCAGGCGCCCAGCACGTGCAGTTCTCTGCGGACTAGCCGGCGAGGGAGGCGACCCAGGGGCACAGCCCCCGGGGTCAGCCCCCGGATCGAGCACATGTTTTTCCTCTGGCATTCCCTCCGCCCTGGTCCGGCTCACGCCCTGATCGACAAGCTGATTATTTCCCGTGATTGCTTCACTGCGGGCGCTCTCGGGCCGGCTGTCTCCCCAGGGTTGGACGACCGCAGTCATGCCAGCCATTATCTCCGCCATTTCCCCGCGCAGATCTTCCCACGACGGTTCTGCGACACAATCGTCAAAAGATACTGACGTCGGTGAAGCCTCCTGAGCCGGTGATGGGGATAACCCGAGACCACAGGCCTCGGAATCACCCCCGGATGAGACTCACCGGCCGTTCCCTGATCTGGGCGGGGTGTCGACTTGACTGATCCCTCGTCTTCCGACGAGAAGGATACGTGATCGGCCATCCCCTCATCCGAACCGGAAGAGATCATGTAGGCTTGATGGACGCCTGGCGGCAATGATTGTTCATCCAAAGTGCTCGGTCCATACCATTCGACGTCCGCCTTCGCCTTGCCTGCGTCCGCTAAGCGCGTCTCGACGACGGCGGATTCTTTCCGCCGGTATTTCCCCCGACGACAGCGAAAAGGTTTTGCTGTAGCTCTGTGAAGAACGCGGATCGAAGACTCTAACACAGTCAAGGGGCTCGGGATCGAATACGATTTGATGAATTCCTTTTTCACACCGTGGCATTGCTCTTCCATACTGGGTAGATCCACCTCCAAAGCACGAAGCACAGCTTAGTGATCTCGTGGTAAAACTAGACTCTCGGTTGGCAACCAGCATTTTGCCGATTCATCATGGACTCGGGCATTATATTGATCCTGCTGATAGATGTTTAATCTGAACGTTCAGGAAGGTCATCTTCGAGTAGTAGTCCCAAGTTGAGCCTCAGAGACGTACTTGACGCCATGGCGAATAGTATCTGGTAAGCAAATGCGTTAGAATGTTGAATGAGTGTAATGATACGCGGGAGCGTCCGGCCCGAGCGAGGGGAGGGCGCGCGCGCTGTCTAATAACGCAATGTCTGCAATATGGTTCCGCCAACCCTCATTGGGAGGGCAAGGGCGGAGCAGGAAAACATGGCGAGTGGTGCGCTAGTACTGACTACGACTACGCAGAAATCATCCACCGAGAACTCAATTGTGAAACAGATGGGCCTCCATCCGTACAGATGCGACCGATGATCAAGAACCTGCATTGTTCAGCGTAAGGAAGCCTCAAGCAAAAGCCCCACTCCGACAAGGAGCCGTTGTTCATACAAGTAATTGTTACAACACGACTGTGCGCGGCGCTAACGCGAGAGGCCCGTTGTGAAAGCGCCCCCCTCCATCGTTTGCGTTGTTGCAAGCTTCTAAAACAAACGTGCGCGGCGCTCAGGCGAGAGCCCAC